GAAAAAAGATCAAGATAAAAGCATATATAACCAACGAAGAAAATGAAAGATCAAAAAGCAAACGACGTGGAAAAAGTAGCATCGTCGATCGAATGGTTTTTATAAACCTTGAAAAAAAATAAAAAAGAAGAATGCATGATATATATCACCGATTCTTTAAAGTGCCTTTTGATGTCATTTTTTTGTTGAAGTTGTTATAACTTTTTTTTTTATATAAATAAACTTTTGATTTTTATAATTTTCAAACTAGGTTTATTTATAAATAAACATTCTTTTAATTGTTTTTTCTGCGTGACACACAAATCCCACATCCAATTTCGAATATTATACACTCCAACACATTAGCCCGAGTTAATTTTGATTTATTTCAATTCTACATAAAATTATTTGTAAGCGAATTACGTTTTAATTCAAGTAATACCTTGAGTAGAAAAATTAGCTATAAACAAAATAATTCCTTTCATTTTAAATATGCCAGACAAATTGATATATATATTTGACGGAAAAGTGAAGTCTTCCATAAAATGTACGCTTTGCTGATACAATTAATATATACGTACCGATCGAGTGCATGCATTATAAACTTTAATAATCAGTACTTCCATTTATATATATGGAAAATCTGGCAATAAAGCAATGAACGACAAAAGCTTAAAATCGAGGGGGAAAAAAGCTGAGTTCAGATTAGCATTGTCGAAGCTTTTGACTTGGGGTACGTGTGATTAATCTTAGCTTCTGGGGTGCATGGTCATGGTGGATGATATATATCATGATAAGATAGAGATTGACATATTGTGGTGGTGAGAAACTTCGGACTGGACTGTTAATAGCAAGTTGTACATAAAATTAGATATATTATTCTTCGTGAGTTGGTAAAATATTAGAGAAAGAAAGAAGACATAGATTTCAGGCAGTGACATAGGCACTTTAACGTACAGCAATAAGCTTTTATTATTATTATTATTATTATTTTATGAAAATGAAGTGCATGCCTAGGGAAACAAGTTGGCGATGACCCTAAGTAGTTGGAATTAGAACAGAACACTGTCAACTACGTGGATGAAATTGAGGATATACGAGGTGGTGGGGCTGATACCGCTCACATTTTAGGCAAAGTTGTGGGCTTACTACATTTCAAAACTTGTTTTGGTGACCAAGTGGATGTGGCACTACACACTTTTTCATTGAGCCCATTAATTATATGCTAAAAGCCCACACATGGAAAACAACATAGAAAGTTGATGAATAAATCATCTGCCTAATGATCTTATCCATTTATAAATAATCACTGTCAAATTTTGATTTAACCTCTTCGAAGTGGATAATATGCTAAGTCAAACGTGGAAAGTGTTTGTTAGAAAATGTTTGGGCCGTTCGGTGGACCAAAGAAATACTTGGATAGAACAAGAACTTTTTACAACGTCACAACTAGCAAATATAGCTAAAAAGTGCACAAAATACTAATTTTCTTTTCACTTCATGATTTAGTTATTTCATTCTATAAGACTATATATAAGCGACTTATTTTAACTCATCGATATTAATATTTATAAAATTACATAGAAAATTTCCCAAAGAATATATATTTTTTATATAAGTATGGATCTTAAATTCTTGATGAAAATATCAATCTATATATGCTTCTTAATTGAGTGTCACATTGTATTGAATTTTTTTTTAATTAAAGTTCTAATGTCTAAAACTTTCAATCCAGGTGTCAAAAAAAAAAAATTCAATCCAAACTATAAATTGTTTGGTTCGACATTTAAAAGAAATAACTTTTAAATTTTATTATTGTTATAGCTTTAACTAGTAAATATCCATATATTACATGTTTATTTTAAATGAGGCAAAACGTGAAGAAGAAAAAAAGAGTTAAATATATAAATAAGATATAAATAATTAAGTTAAGAAAAAGAAATTTAATCTATAAATTAAAAAGAGAAAAATTAAAATTACTATAAAGTATGTATACTTGATTAAAAGTTTCCTGTATTTTGAAATTCTCTGTCTCCTTTCCTGTTTCTTGCCCTACACATGACATGCATGCATGTGTGTGCCTGATGTTAAGCTAAAAAATTGAGAACATGGTAATTGGTAAAAATTTAAAGTGTAACAGATTAAATAACTGGTTAAAGAAATTTAGTAGTTAACTCTATTTTAATAAATATTTTAAATTATTTAAAAAGTTAAGTATTAAAGATCTTTTATATCCTTAATATAAAAGAAAAAATGATGAAATATTTATGACTTATGTTTTTAAACCTGAACCATGCCATTTCCCCCAACATACTAAAGACTGAACATATTCTCCTTTTGGCAAAAGATCGATGTAAGAATGAGAAGAGTGAAAATAACATATATCATATGGTCTTAAAGGGACGATGCTTGAATGAAAAGTAGACGTAGATGCTGACACTGAAGGAACACTTTCTTATGGAGAGGCCAATAAAGCTCTAGCAGTCGCAATTCTCATCATTCTATAATTTCTATTACATATCATCATATAATTAAATTAATAATTGTAGTTCAACTTTAACTCATAGGTAACGCGCAATTTGGGGGGACGAATATCTAACCCTGTTAATTATAATCTTATCCACTGTAATTCATTATTGCCTTGCATTGTTCTTTTCATTTCCTTAGGCCAAATCAATCACTTCAATTAAATCTAATTAAGCCCTATATACGATGCCAGAAAAGGATACTTTAACATGCGGTTCGATGCATTGAACGAGTGTAAAAGCCATGATTGTTGTAATTGTTTCAAGTTTTCTTCATTCAATGTTCACTTAAATTTGTATGTTTGGCTAAGTAAATAAATTTCAATTCAAAATTTGGCTCCATCATTTAAATAAAAAATTGTAAAATTTGTAGATTTGGTATTAATAATTAATAATATATAGAGATATTAAATTATACCAATATAGTTTTCATTAACTATTTTATATTAATAAATTTTAATTAAATGATTTTAATCCAAAACTCATCATTAAATTAAATGTTCATTCGTAGATATCATATTAATTTAAAATTATTTGATATCTCAAAATATATATATATATATAAAGCCTTTTCAGTATTCAGTGTTATTCAATTTTGATACAAATAATCAATACTATATAGTTATAACTAAATATATTGAAAATGGATCAAAATCACATTCTATATGAAATTATCAACACTTTAATTTCAAGAATTTTGTTGCAAGATAATTACTTCCTTCAGGCATATCAGCAATTAGTATTTTACCTTCAGACATATTATCAATTAGTTAAATAATCATATCTATTTATTTATATGCCAAAGAAAACTCAACCTTAAAAATTTAATGATGCCCTTAAAAATTTAATGATGCCGATTTATTTTTTTTTTAATATAAGTGTTCTTCGTATTATTTTTCATAAAAGGGAATTTTTAAGTATCTCAATAATTAATGTAAAATCTTTAAATCCATTATGCATTACACGAGTTATTAAAACAAAATTCTATTTTTTTGTTGAACGCGAAAAATACCTTAACTTCCTATCCTTTAACTTTGTTTAAATATTTCTGCCATGTACACACCACTTATAGATAAAGTAATTTATAACAACCATTGGTAGGTGGGAACAGAGTTTCCAAATTGGGAAGAGAGAAGAATTGGCTGAATTTGTGTTTATTACAAAATCCGTGATTAGTGTGAATGGTTAATGGAAGAATTGGATATGGCTTAGAAATGACTAATTGTAATTCACTTTTCTTTACCGCACAAAAGGGCGTCTCCCGTGGCACTATCTATTATCTAACTTTGCAATCAGCAGATCAGCGTAAAAGCTTGAAAGTGCAATTTCATCATCATAACAAAAGCAACTTTTTCTTATAATCGCATACTTATACACCCATGTTGAAGTTAATCCATATACAAGAAAATTACTTTTTCTTTTTCACCTTGCAACTTGCATTTGTATTGTATATTTATATTTAAATTTATGACCAGAAGGTAATAGGATGATAACAAACATGGCAGCTGATGCAATAAAGTTTTGTAGATGAATGGGAAGGGGAAAGTGCCCACCCCGGAAGTGATAGGTATATTGAGATACAATCAAGCGAAATAGATGTTTTTGTTTATTTATTTTTATAATGTATTGTTGAAATGAAGTATCTACAAATCTTATTTTTAGAAAACATTAAAAGTAACTAATAATTGTTTTCTCTGATTCACTTCCAAAAATGGACGCGAAGTGAAAGCAAACACGTGCTAAATAATAGAATGTAATTATGATCAAAGGGGGAAATTCATTATTGTTCAGATGCAATAATGCAAATATAGCTATCGAAATACACGAAAAAAACAACATAGCTATCGACAAGATATCTTCAACCTCCTCAATATCACGACGAAAGGAGTAGCTCATTCGGGTGGTCTCCGATTGATAATGTCAAAGGGAAACGGCCAAAATGGGGAGTGAGATAATACTATCCGTAAATCTTTCGTTAGTGTTATAAAATATGTTTGAACAGGTAAATTAATGGTCTTATTCGTTTCAAAATTATTAGCAAATAACTTGTGGTGGCATCAGACCTGAACATTACATCAAAAACATCATGGGTTATCGCTTTTGTTGTTTTGCATTATTTTATCCTCTATTATTCTGTAATAGTAAAGCAACGATCCATATTTATACATTATTTTTTATATTACTTTCTTTTAAATAGTTAAATTAAAAGTATGTTTAATTAGTATACAATTTCTCTATTTTAAATAAGCAAACTGTAAAAATAATGGTGAGAATTTGATGACGAGGAAGTATTAACTATGAATAATATTCTTATTTTGTTTTTATCTTTAATAATAAAAAATTAACTTAGTTTTGTTTAATTATTTATTGTACAAAGTTTTAAAATACTTAAAAAAAATGACATACAAAGCAACCCAACCGCCATTTAACTGAAAGCCAAACAAAACTCAAATTAAATACTTTCAAAAAAAGAAAAATAGGAAAAAAGATGATAGATGTTGAAGATATCTGAATTCTAAATTAGTCAATTTCCAATTGAAAATCTCAAAAAATGAAAATTAACAATTGAAAAGTAGGTAACCGCACAAAGATCTATCTGGCGCCATGAGGCGGCAGTTGCGAGAAAATAACACACTGACAAATCAAAATTGCTATACTCCTTATTCTCCTCAATAAACCTGATGTTGATATTTACAATTGGAGAAAATTCAATGTATTGATATTTTATTCATAAAATGTCAAACTCTTCCCAAAATGCCCTCCTTCTTGTGTCTCTGAAGATAGAGGACTAATCTAACACATGAATGGCGCGAGAGTCGTGATCTGATGTATAATGCTACCTGCCTAATTCTGTCTCTGCTTCTGAAGCTTCCTAAGTGCTCAGTGAAGACATGACCAATTAATGTTGAGTTGTAGTACAACTTGAGAAGAGGCAAACTTTGCACAAGTGCTCATTGCATCTCTTCAATCACAAGTTGCCAAACTTGATTCCTCAGCATAGGATGCAAGTGGCCATGGCATCATGCGCAGTATATTTAATATAAAAAATACATAATCATAGCCCACCCAATTCACCACCCATTTAATGCGACATTGGCAGTGAACTAGCACCTAATTGAGTTGCCACAAATGCCACCAAAACACCAACAATCACCGCCATAACATTGTTCGCTCTCACGTCCACGTTACCACCCGAAGTCTCCACCGCCGTTGGATATTTCTCGTTCCCCGATTTAATCGAACTGCATCAGAATTCAAACACGCAAATTGAATCGCAAAATTTGACAACCTAAGATATTATACGCGGACGGTGCAATAAAATTAAAACACGACATTAAAAAAAAAACGTGACAAGACAACCATGTATAATGGTCCCCTAATTGACATTCAGCCAAACTTTCTTTTTCTCAAAAAATAAAAAAAAATCATCACAGCAATCAATATTCCTCTGTTCTAAAACACGTTTTAACAGCTATTATTAGATATTTGAAAACATAAAAACTAGGTTAGCTAAAGTGATGAAGGAATAAATCATAAATGAATAAAAAAGAAGTACCTTGTGGAGGGTGCGGGACAGAAGGTGATGGTGTAATCAGCAGAGGCGCAAGTGAAGGTGCTGGAGCCATCGTCGTAGGCGTAACTATAAGCGCGTGGACAGGCGCTCTTGAAGAACTGCGAGTAGGAGCTGGGTTTGCATGTGTCAGGCGTCGCGTAAGCGCCACTGCAGCAATATTGTGGATCATCGAAAGCCTCGCACGCGCTTTTGCACGCCACGCCCTCTCCGCTGCTCATCACCTTTAGCTCCGTCGGACACGGCGTGTTCAGGTCCACCACGCACCCCGTCGCGCTGCAGTTTCCGCCGCCGCTTCCGCCCTGCGGCTCCACCACCATCGGGAGGTTGTACCCGTCCACCAGGCTCACGTCGAAGAAATCAAGCCCTCCGGCGCCGTTCAGAGTGAACTCCGCAAGCGTGGCCGGCGGGGCAGCTCCTCTGCCGTTGCATTCTATGGCGGAGGAGCCGCAGTCTCCGGTGACGCAAGTGAATTTTCCGGTTGCGTCCTGCGAGCAGAACGTCCGCCCCCAGAGGCGGCCGGACCAGGCTGGCGGCACGGCCACGACGTTGGACTCGCCGGGCTGAAGAGCGAAGCCGGTGGTGGAGAGCGGCGAGGTCCCGGCGCCGGATAGAATGCCGGGCCAAACTGTGTAGCTACACTTGTTCACTATTGTAAATGTCGTTGAATAGGAACCTGTCCAACGTTAAACAAAACAAAACACAACACACGAGACACGACCGTTAATATAAGTTAACGACAGTTAATATAAGTAAAAGACCGTTAACATGAAAATGTTATGAATGGTTTACTTTACCTGCTAGGAATTGGAAGAAGCATAGTGTGAGGAAAGTGGGGGAGAAATGAGTTGAAGATGAAGCAGGCATGGTTGAAAAATGGGGAATGAATGTGGGAAAGGAAAAAGAGAAAAATGGAATAATATTTGGTTTCCCTTGTTGGATGGTTTTGGAGAAAAGTGTTAAGATGAAGGGAGTATATATAGAGAGGTTTTGATGTGGGCCATGTGGGATGGTGGAGGCACGGCCCATAGGGTGTGGGTCCCAGCGGAGCAGTGCACATGCATGCAAAAACCGCCAATATGAGAGGTCGGCAATGTCTGGTTTATTGGTAACGATATGATATTGCATACGCCCTAGATCAAAGGAACCTAAATATTAAATGATAAAAATAATGGAGATTGGGGTTTTCTGAAGGAATCAATAACAGTAGCCGAGGCATGGCTGAAAAAGGACGGCTACGAATTTACATACAAGGAAATATATGAATAATGTTGGAAAGGACCTTTGATACTCGTACCCTTGAAGGGATCATCATTTTTAAGTAACGTAGGAACTAATAGAGATTGGTTGAGGTCAAGTGAGGACTGAATGGTCAAATATGGGGCAGCACAAGTACTAATTCCATGTGATTTTTGTCGCTCTTTATGAATCTTGCTAATTCACATGCACCATTCATCGTTCATCACATGCATTCTGCCTTCAAATTTTATTTAACCATTATAAGTAGTACGTTTCATTGTTCAATAATTCAGTCTTTCCCTATTGCTACATAATTGATTCCTTGTTTCTTATGACACCATAATTATTGGTTACATAGCTCAAGTTATTTTAAGAGAAATGATATTGTTTCTAATCCCAAGGACCAAAGAGACAATTCATAAAAAAAATAAAAAAAAATAGTGTACGAATCAATCTATTCTTAAATCTTGAATAAAAAAATATATTTTTAAATCAAACCGTCATTTTTGAATAATTGTGATATAGGACTTTTTTATTCTGGTATTGTCTTTCCGCAATGGATTTTCATTGATTGGAATGCGGCCCAAAAAGACATAAGCCCATAACCATTAAACCATCGCAACGTGGCATTGGATCGGATCTAGAGCCCCGGTTCATTTAAATGGAAAGAGTTTGTTAGATGCAGTTATAAGTAGCTCGACCAAATATATTTAAGAAAAGGGAGTAGCTCGGTGCCCCAACAAATTTTAGAGGTTTTGATACTTTCATCAATACCATGCTGCCATGTTATTATTTTATTTATCTAGTTTGGTCTAATATCAATTTCACGTGAATTCCTCTTTTTTTTTTTTTTTTTTTTTACTTTCTAAATTTATTAATACATTTTTTTGGTGGTTATTAAGAGACTTTAAATCCGTTCTCTAAAAAACAAAGAATCTTCCAATCTTATTTTTGCTTTTATTTTTCGTTTATTAATTATTTATATAATAATATAAAATTGTGTATTGTTTTAAAATTTTTATTTATTCTATATCTATAATTCATAACCTCGTTTAATTTAAAAAAATTCATATTCTATTTGTTTTGGTATATTTTATTTTCTTGCATCTAATTATTTTCTTCTTCAATTATTTTTAATTGTTCTAATAATTATTAAATTTCTTCATATTTCATTTTATTTTTTCAACATATATATATTCGCCTATTATCCCCTCCCTGGAATCACATGCATTAATAATTTTTTAGGTTCATGCAAAATTTATTATTTTATTACAATTTTTTTTTAAAAAATTTATTAATTCATTCAACTATTTTTTTTGTTATGCATTTATTATTTTTTTAGACTAATTAAATTATATTTTTATCCTTTATCTTATTTTTTAAAATTTATTTTGATCTTTTATCTATTAAAATATTTATATTTTTTCTTTATTTTTTTATATTTAAATCAATTTGATCATTATAAAATAATGATCTTTTACAATTTTACTACACAATTTTGAATCAATTTTTAACTGATTTAAGATGTGAAATTTGTAATATTAAATTTATCCTAGTAAAAATTATGAAATATAATTGACATTTGAATTTAAAAGAACAATAAATATAATAAAAATCATGTGAAAATATATGTTATGAATAAGAAAAAATAATATAAAATTATTTTATTTTCTTTTTAGGGTATCATTACCCTTCATTTTTCATGGATAGCATAAAATATTCCAAGTTCCAAGTTATAAGTAGCTTGACCAAATATATTTAAGAAAAAGCTGGTTTCCAGAAAACTAAAATAGTGAAAATAATTTTTTTATAAATAATCATAAAGTTTGTACGATGCTAACAACTTGTTCCAAGTTGCTTTCAAATTTGTGTCTCAACCAATGGTATGAGTGTGTCAGAGGAATTCAAGAAGGGGAGACTGACAGTACAAAAAAGATGGAGTTTGATTATGGTTTCGTGTTGAGAGTTGAGACTGAATTAAAAACATTCCCAAAGATGCAAGTAACCAAGTTGGTTGTATGTTGATACATAGTGGGCCGACAGTAATGAATTCAAGTAGCTACTTCACATATCAATGCCCTGTCAATTCACCAAAGGTCAACAACATGATCCAATAGCCCAATATTTACGGCCCTTCACTTTCTGACAATTAAAACCCTAAGACCATAACCTTATACATGACAAAAACATATACAATATATAATCTCATCTTCAATTACTTGTTTATTTCAAGTTGCTTGACTTCATCTGATCATCTAAATACTCCATAAGCTGACAACACTTCACTCTACTTGCACATTTACATTCATATCATTCTACATAGTGTTGGGATAAAATTTTTTAAGCTAAATAGAAATTTTTCATTAATCAAATTAAGAACCGTTATCTCAGATTATAGAGTTAATGTTAATAACACGTACCTGTATCTATTGGTGTTGATCAAATAGTTGCAGCGGAATAGTCTTTTGGTGCAATGATCTTCCTCAGCCAAATCACTGGATTCCTATATGAGACTTGATGTTACTCTTCTGATGGGGAGACAGAGAGACGTGTGTTTCTGATTTGGCATATTGGGGACCATGGCCATCTTTATGATTTTGAACCTATTAGCGTTCCCATTAACCCCTAACGGGCCAAATCTGGTTTCCACTTATATGGACTCATATTAGTTTTTCTAATAAAAATACAAAATAAAATCCTAATATCTAATGTACCCCAAAATACAAGGGCAAAATGGGAAAAGGAAGCAACAAATTAAGGAGATGGCTAAAATTCCACACACATGATGATCATGGCCTTTGGTGTGGTGTGTTCTTCATCTTTCTCTACTCTCCTAGCCATGGACCTTGTGATAGGCCCTATATGATAATTTTTTAACCAGTTTTTTAAAACAGATTTTTGAACCAATTTTTTTAAACTAATTTTTTGAACCAGGTTTATTAACCAGTTTTAAACTATAATAATAAGCAATTTATATTGTATATAACTGCTGAAATCTTCTTATAAGTGCTAGCTAAAAAGGTTTAAATATTTCGTCTTGCATTTTCGATTTATTATTTTTCTCTTTCAGGAATTTAGTTTGAAAAAAAAAATTCAAACAAACTCTTGGTCTCAATATTTATAGTTGAATAATGGCCTTATAATTTCCTTACAACATAACTTGTTGGAAAATCTAAAAATGCAACTTGCAGAAGATACTCATTCCAAAGAGAAGATAGTGGTTTCGAATATTGACACAGAGGAGACAGTGATTTTGTTGAATTTTTTGTACCAGATTTATTAACTAGATTTCCACTGATTGCGTAGCCACTAGCCGCATACTCGTAGAAGGGTAGAAGACGTCTAGGAGCTGGAGCACTGGACTGGAGTCTGGAGCAGTAAACAAAATGGTTTGGTTAAAATGGATTTTTTCAAAGGTGATCCAAACCGTTTTAAATAAAATGGTTTGGTTAATTGGTTTTTCTAAATCGGTTCAATTTGGATATTTTATATTTGGATCGTTATTTTCTGGATCGGTTAGGTTTAATTTTAAATGGTTCGGTTCGGTTCAGTTTTTTTCACACCCCTATACATCTTGCTGTTTTCCCCATTCAGATATATTTTGAACTTGTTATGCTATTGTATGTACTTCGTTTCATAGAGAAGGAAGTATTGTTCCTTGAATGTTGATAATTAAGTGATAAGTAAGAGAGAGAAAGAGAAAGGTAAATCTTATGTAAATTATAAGGTTAAAACTTTTATTTGGTCCTTTATAATATTTTTTTGTTTCAATTTAGTCACATTTTAAATTTTAGTTTCAATTTGGTCCCCAATAATTTAAATTATTGCAATTTGGGACTTCCGTCCAAATGATTTAAACGGAGTTAACTGTTGGTCACGTGAATGTCTGATGAATGTCACGTAGATGTATAAGTGGATGCCAAATTTCATGAATACACTTGAAACCAGAACGACTCATTCAAAAACCAGAACGACTCGTTCTGCATGCACATGTTATGTGTTAATTTTGCAATTGGAAGGGCCGTTCCAAATGCAAATTTAACATACCATGAATGCATCAGAACGGGCTGTTTTGAAACCAGAACGACCCGTTCTGGTGTTAGAACGGGCCGTTCTGGATTCAAAATGATCCGTTCCAGAACGCTAACTTCATGCATGCATTGACCAAAATGTCGCATTGTGGTTCAAAAATTGAAAATAAAAATTCATAACATATTGAAGGAAATTGATTCCGTGTCATTGCATTACAAATCAGAGTAATATATACAAGATACAAGCGCCAAGATAGGCTATAAAATAGCTAACTAATGGCTGAAATTATGGTAACAAATATTGACTAGCTAAATAAAGATATATACAAGTAATAAGAGAATATATGCTAAATATATTCTAACACACCCCCTCAGTCGAAGCGGGAGGCTCTCGTATGCTTAGACTGTCCCTGAAATCATTAAATAGAACGCGCGGAAGCCCTTTTGTGAAAATATCAGCAATTTGGTAACGGGACGGCACATGAAGCACACGGACTTCGCCACGAGCCACTTTCTCACGAACGAAGTGAATATCCATCTCAATGTGTTTGGTGCGTTGATGTTGAACAGGATTGCCGGATAAGTATATCGCACTCACATTGTCACAGTAAACTAGAGTAGCCTTTTGAATGGGACAATGCAACTCTAGAAGCAGGTTTCTGATCCAGCAAGAATCAGAAACAACATTAGCCACACCCCTGTATTCCGCCTCGGCACTACTGCGGGAGAGAGTATGCTGCCGTTTGGAAGACCAAGATATCAGATTATCCCCGAGGAAAACACAATACCCAGAAGTGGAACGACGGGTGTCAGGACACCCACCCCAATCAGCATCTGTATAAGAGATTAGTCTATCAATGGTGGATTTGTACAAATGCAAACCATGGGATAAAGTACCCTGAAGGTAGCGTATGATACGCTTGAGAGCACGCATATGCTCATTTGTCGGAGCATGAATATTTAAATTAAAATTTATATTTAAAAGAATTTAATAGTACTTTCTATAAAATTCAAATATAAATCAATTCACACTGAGAAGGAACATTTTTGTGATGATTCCTTGCAAAAATGGGAGCTCTTTACCGATTGCCTGTTTGATGAAACTTTTGGGTGTATATTATATACAGTAAAATATAAAAAAAAATATTATTATAAATATAATATATAAAAAGTGAAATTAATATTATCAAAATATTATCAAAAGTCATCATAAAAAATGAAATTAATATTATCAACATATTATCAAAAGTGATCATAAAAAGTGAAATTAATATTATCACAATATATTATCAAAAGTGATCATAAAAAATGGAATTAATATTATCACAATATTATCATAAGTGATCATAAAAAGTGAAATTAATATTATCACAATATTATCAAAAGTGATCATAAAATGATGATATAATCACTTTACGAAAATTTCTTATCAAAGTTACCTCTTGGAGGACATGGGGCAGAAAGTGATGATATAATCAGCAGAAACACAAGTGAAGGAGGCACGATCCTTAGGGCATGCACTGTTGAAAAACTCGGAACTCAAGCATGGTAGAGCCCGAGTCTGGGAATGGTCCACAAATATCTGTGTGAATTAATTCCAAAACTTCCTTAGTGCAAAGTCCTTACATTTTTTGGCCAATATATTATAAAAAGAAAAAGTGACACTTCTTTATGTTTCTACTTTCAAGATTCGTCAAACTCTGAAATGCATGTGGAAGGAATGATTCGGTGGCAAAAAACTACGATCGTTACTTTTTATCTTCTCTATGCTTTAGTGCTTTCCCCAACGCTCATTCTCTGTTACCTTTTGTTGCAATCCTCAATCCAATTTCTATAAACATAAATAAATTCATTACCAATAATAATAACCTTTCAATATGAAATTTAATTTAACATGTCTGACACAAGAAAAGCATATTTCAATTAGGAATTTTGGTCCCCCAAACATACCAATAATGTGTTAATACGCAAATTAAATTGTTTCTGAAACAGTAACAGAGTCTTCATTATAGTCTTTTCCATAGCATCATCCCATATATAATAAAAAGACGAGAAAAACAGATATGGGCCGACACATTCGATATGGAAAAGAATTTATATATAATTCGAAACATTCGTGATGAATTTGATTAAATTTAAGAAATTATATATATATATATATATATTTAAATTTCTTTTGAAAATCGTTATTAGACCAGAAATCATAATAAAAGCATGTTAGTATTTTTTTTAATACTTTAACTATGCTCTAAGAATTATATTTATCAGCATTCTACGTACTTTGAGTTTAAATTGAGAAATGAAACCCAAGCCTTGCACTATATATATATATATATATTAATTAGCGAGTTTAAATTTTTATTTTCCTAAATTTGATATTTGTAATAATTTTTTTTATATTTACATTGATTTGTATATTAAATTTTAGAAATTATATACAATATAAACAATATTATAATTTTAAAGAATAAAACAAATTGATATTTTATTTTAAGTGACATATAGTACTTAACTTCTCTATGTTGACTGTTGAGAGTAGAAAACAAGCATATCTGTAACAAAAAAAGAACCAAGCTTATCTTATAAGAGATTTATCAGAGAAAAAGTTTCAGAAAAATTATATTAAAGAAAATTAAAAGAATTAAAAAAAATTAAACCATAGTCAAAAAAATTAATGGACCAAACGTGTTATTAGAATTTTGAATAAAATAAACAGATTAAAAATTAAAAATTATGCTAAAAGTAATCTTTTTTATTTATTTTGCTATGTAAGTAATTTTTTTTTTTTTGGCTATTTATTTTGTAAGTATTATTATTCAACAACAGAGAAATACATGCTCCGTGTTCTTTTTTTTTCTTTGTGAAGATTATGCTTCGTATCTTTAATACCAGTTTATAAAGTGGAATATTTTCGGCCCAAATGGATATCACCAAAGCCCGAAGGTCTCCCAACTCATTGTCAGTAGTCACTAGTCAATACCCAACAAACCTAGATTCGGTAGATTGTAGTTGTGTTTGTTTTGGGCTTTCAAGCACTCCCTAATACCAAAAAACAAATAAAAAATTAAAGTCAATACCCCTCGCCCAGCTCACAACAAATCATAGTATAAAAACTTTACATCATTAATCAAGCAAATAAAATTTTAAATGTAATTTTAAAAAATAATTAACATACAAACCGGTGATTTCAATATATGAAAATTTATGATTTATTAATAATATAAATGTAGTTGTAAGTAGGATGTTGTTAGTAAGGTTGTAATTTTCTTTTCTTTGTTATTGATCTCCATTTATTAAAAGAAAAACTAATTCATTTAAATGTAAAAAAAAAAAATCTAATTCAATTTTCAAAAGCAAAAGAAAGATAATTATTCATCGTCGGAAACTCAAATCCAAAATTACACTCAACATAGAACCATATGAGCAGATTGACATATTCCATAATTAAATATTAAGGGGTTACTTCATTCAACACTACCTTCAACTAAATCTTTATATGGAAAAATTTAGGAAATTTGTAAAATGAAGTTGATTTCATCTTTATTGCATGAAGCATGATCCTCACAATTATTTCATGCAAGGTTGTTGCAAGTTGCAACGAAGCTTATTCACAAGCAAGGTGAAAATTCCCATAGTAGAAAAATTACTGGGTCATACATTCATACGTAATCTATCTACAAAAAGCATGACAGCAAAATAGATTTCCTGCAGCACAAAGTGAGACTCGATGATATCAGTGAAAGTATTATTAGTAGACTTCCACATTCCATTGTTCTGCCTTCTTCAATCGCCTCTTGTACTCAATCCAATCGATACCTACAGCACAAAAACAAATTCATAACATAAGATGAATGAAATTTCTATGATTGTGATCTACGGCTAAAGGAAAGTGTTATTATTAAATATTGCTACCATCTTTTGCAGCCAATGACACCATTATGTCATCAATTCCCTTTTCCATCCCTTTGAGTCCACACATGTAGACATAGGTGTTATCTTTCTTCAGCAACTCCCAAAGTTCTTCGGCATATTGAGCCATTCGTGTTTGGATGTACATCTTCTCTCCTTTTTCGTTTGTTTGCTCTCTGCTCACAGCAAAGTCTAGCCTAAAGTTCTCAGGTGCTTTCTCCTTCATCTTTTCAAATTCCTGTCCCACACACATGACATCACCATATGTGCTATAAGCCTTCCCATCTCAGACACCAAATGGTAGTAGATGCATGATGCATATCATCTTCCTGAATAAAAAGAAAAGCTTCATTTATCTCACCTCCTTATAAAGTAGTGAGCTGCTTGTGGGTACACCCAAGAAGAGCCATGCCAAACCATTGAACTACATGTATCATATGTGCCAAAACTCCGTTAATCATCAAATATGGCCGTGTACAAATACAACTCGCACAGTTTCTTTGTGGGTCAATATTTACAAGTTTTCAACTTTTAGTGATAGTTTTATCTATTAGAAGTTAATTTTCTTGTAACGTGTATTTCTAAGATGTGTATTGTCATGAAGGGTGTTATCGTGTTATTTTTTACATTCAATTAATAAAATTGTATACTATACACCGTTTCCACTGTCCTCCTGGCATCAACTTCATTAAATTGTAGATTAATTTAGAACTTTATACATTACGACACTTATATTCTTATATATAATGGTTTCTGGTTCAAGATAGATAACTAGGGTTAAGAAAGTCTTGGTTACACTAACCTTGTAATCATCATGCTTCTCGAAGAACATTTTCCATAAAAATGAGCGGAATGGGGCAATTCCAGTTCCAGTTGCCAACTATGGAATTTTATTGCAATGATCAATGGTAATGGCGAAAATCAAAACAACAATTATGAGTAATAAAGGGTTCAAATATCCCTTTCACAATTAAGATGAAGATGATTAGGTAATGTACCATGATCATGGTGGCATTAGGATCTTTTGGCATAAGCATTTCTTTACCAACAGGTCCAGTAATCTTTACTTCAGCCCCTGGCTTCAAGTCGCCTGAATAAACATGCCCACAAGTGATTGCCATAAAAGATAAATATCATTTGAACTAAAAAAGAAAAAAATAAATCAGACATTTTCTTGATTCAATATCTCGGATGAGAAATATAACTAAGTTTATTCTAATTTAACATTCATGATCATTTTTTTATTAAGTAGATACAAATTAAGCATATATTTTAATTATATTTATTTTAACGTGTTAGGGGATTTGTTGTTGTTTTATTAGTTTGAAATAATATTTACATGCACTTCTTACAATTTAAAAGTAAAAGAAAACATTACCATTATAATTTATTTCAACATACAGAGTGAAATCTTATAAATATTTTTAAATATTTAAAATTAATAGTAAGTGATGCAATAGATCCATCCCCACTTGATGATCGTAAACTATAAATAGATATATTATACAAAACTATTTTTTTAAAATTTTAAATTTTACTATGTTTATAACACATTTGGTTTGAGCATTCATTATATTCAATAGTTTTTATATAAGTTAATCTTATGAAATGAATTTTAAGTTTTAAATTTGTCAAAATAAGATTCAAAAGGACTAAAATTAACTTAAATTTAAGAAATAAATGATTAAAAAAAAATTTAAAAGATAAAGAACTAAATAAATCTAAAAAATAATATAAAAGATAAAAAACACAATTTATTCTATATTATATAAAAAAAATGTTATTTAAACACCTAAACACTTCAAATAGTTGAATGATATCCCTTCTTTCTAACTCTACTCCCATCACTTTATACACCTATTGCATCTATAACTTCTCTGTTTTTCTTTTCCTGGATGTATTTTTAGCACATTATGTGTCCTGGTAATATTTTCCTATGCAAAAACTAAAATTATCAATCCTTACACAAGAAATTCGAGCAAACTCCCTTGACAAGTTCTCCGTTTTCATTTGTGTACACAAGACGTTTCACGCATAAAGAAACCTGTTTGAAGGCATAGATGGCAAGTAAGTTGGAAGTCCTAGGTAAGAGATAGATTCAGCAAGTTTAACTGCTATCCTTACAGATGATATACGTTGGCATATAATTTAGATTCTAATCTCAATTTCATTTGGGTGGAAAATAGACAAGAGTTTGAGACACGGGTCAACAACATTCAACAACCAGTGGCACAAAGTTAATGAAAACTCTGAAAGTTTAAACTATTAAATCCAAATTCCCAGCAACAATAATGCATAGAAAGAGCACAATTGATTAGTTATCCAAATTAAGAGTTAAGACTCACAGTTTTGGAGTCTCCAAAATCACCAAGGGCACTGCTAGCAATAGAATACAATCTCAGCTTGTGAGGCTTGCCATCCTTGTCAACCCCATCAGGAATTACCCCAATTGATTGTCCTTCTCTGTAAGGAACTTCTCCTGAAATAATACAAATATATACTTTTATTTATTAACCCAAAATCTATGAGTTCATTAAAGCATTTCAGAGTACTTGTGCATTTTGCGGATAAATTCTCCAATATAGAATTATCACAAGTTTTTATAATATTTATGATTATACAAGTTCAAAGATTAAAGATGGATCATGGTTTGTAATTGATCGTAAAGATAGACATGTAGAACAAAACTTATGACTCAAGATCACGTACCCTCAGTGCTGAAGACCATGTGCCAAGTTTCTCCAGGTGCATCATCCCCAGTGATCTTAGTGTTGAGAAGACACCTAGCAGTATAAGGGTTCTTGGGTTTGAACTTGTTCACAATCACACCTTCCTCCTGTTTCTTGGATTCCTTTTCAACCTTAGCAGGTGCTTCTGTGGTCACTTGTGCTCTGATAGAAACTATCCTTCCACTGATTGAAACATCTCTGTATTGCAACGAAACCTGAGAAACAAAACAACCCAGATCATACTCCAATGGATCAATTACATTGTAGTGCTGAATCTGATGCTTCAATACGTGTTTGGAGTGTACCTTCTTGAAGACTATTCTATCTGGGGCAGCGATTGAGGTTCTGCTTGGAAGAGAGGTGGACTTGGAGGATGGAAAGGAAACTGCAGCAGTTACTACAGCAGCCATGTTGTAAAAACTAGAAAGAGAAAGAGTAATGTTAAATGAATTGATTATATAAAAGAGAGTGAGGGAAGGATCGTTTTTCTGGTTATACAGAAGATTTTATGATTGAGTGGATGAGATTTATCAGCCAATGCAGAGACAATGAGTGGACAAGTTTATTTTTGGGTTCTGTATTTTTAACACCTAACTTCCACAAAATACTCTCCATCAACACCTCATTTTTTTATTTATTATTTTTTACTTCAATTATTTTCAAATAGAATACCAAAGGAAATCGAAAATAATTTTTTAACAGTGTTGATTGGATATTTTAGTCTTATATAAATGTCTAAAAAAACATTTTTTTTTCAAAAAAAAAAAAGGAAAATGAGATTATGTTTGAGTGTTTTGTGAAAATTAAGTGTTTTAAAATTAGAGTTCTTTTAATGTATGATACCCGATCTCCAAGGACCATTTTAGCTTGTGTTATGTATTTTGAATATTAAATAAATCTCTTACAATTAATTTAGAACTCTCCTAAAGCAAAAGTTGTTGATTTTTCTAAATCAAAAGTTATTAACAATTTTATAAATAAATTAGTGAAAAGTTTTTAGAATTTGTAAAATTTATTTTGTAGGGAATCAGGTAGGGACGTGTCTAATAAATTTTAGGCTTAATGAAAATTTTTTTAATTTAATTTTACTTATATAATTAATTATTTTTTAATTTCAAACACTAAAATTTTTAATTAAATTTAATAATTAAAATTTTTCAAAATTTCACTTAATTAAGAATTTTAACAATATTTAGCCCTAATGTAAGTTTTTTATTTAAGTTTACTTATATAATTAATTATTTTTATTTTATTTTTAAATTTTTAAACAATGAATTGTTAATTAAATTTAATGATTAATAATTTTCAACATTTAAATTCGGTATTTAAATTTTATCTATTGTAACTAGTCTTACCATTTAAGCGCATCTTGTAGGCATAGTATTTATATTTCTGGCATACCTCCTTCTCATTGGTGCATTTGGGAAGAGTCAACCTGCGGTCTTTCCCCCTTTCCACCGCAAGCCAGCTCCGCTCACGTTAACGTAATGCTTATTTCGGGTGATTTATTGTTTACGAGCAACGAAAGACGAGGAAAGTTGACGTTTGTTTCCACCGATTTACGACGATGGAAAGGCGAAGAAAAGCGAGACTGTTGCTCTCCTCGCACGAGAGGGAAGAAAAGAGGTGAAAGACACGTAGGATTTGTGAAAATCCGAAAATGCCCCTCCCATGCATATGCCATGCAGCAGAGGATTCACGTTCAACAAAGGAGCATAATCGATTATGGCCTTGCATAATCGATTATGGGTGATGCATAATCAATTATGCAAGGCCATAATCGATTATGGTTGGCCACATAATCGATTATGGTCTTGCATAATCGATCATGGGTGAGGCATAATCGATTATGCAAGGCTATAATCGATTATGTGGCAACCATAATCGATTATGCAGGGTATTTTCGCTGTCAGTGGAAATCGGAACGGCCCCGGAACGACTCGTTCCAAAAATGCATGTTATGAGAAAAATAAGAAAGCAGAACGGGTCGTTCCACTTTTAGAACGGATCGTTCCACTTTTGGCCTTTGCGTAGTACTTTATAACCCCAAAACGGCCGTTCCACTTTCGGAACGGGCCGTTCTGGACACATTAATTTGTTTTTAATACGTATATATATATATATATATATATATATATATAATATTAATATTTAATTTATAATACCTTAAATTAAATATAATTATTTAATATTAATATTTAATTTATATATATATATATATTAAATATTAATATTAAATAATTATATTTAATTTAAGGTATTATATATTAAATATTAACATCAAAAAGTGGAAATATAAAAAAAATAAAGTAAAACATGTTTATAAAATTAAAATAATAACACTTTCATAAACATTAATAAAATAATGTTACAAAATATAATTATCATAATATATTTTGTTATTATTATTTATTATTATAAATATTATTGTTTTTATTTTTATTAATATTAATATTATTATTTATTATAATTAGTATCATTATTATTTATTATGATTCTTATTATTTTTCTAATATTTATTATTATTCTTATCATTATTTATTATTTTTTTAGTAAATAAACCCTATTAATATAATTTTATTGTAATTATTATTAATTACAATAAATAATATTATACTCATTTTTAATCCAAGGGTAAAAGTGTAAATTATATATTCATCTCTTAAATTTTTATTTTTTATCTATCATTAAATTTAAAGCAAATATTTAAATTAATTTATTTTTAAATTAATTTTTTATAATTTTTTTAGTTAAAATTTATATATTTATCTTTTAATTATAATAATTATAAAAAAAAATTTAACCTAAGGGTAAAATAGTAATCTTTCACAACTATTAATTAAAAAATCTATTTTTATCTATTACATCAATCAATTCATTCACAAACTTTCACAAACTTTCTCTACATTTTCCACTCACTTTCCCTTAATCCAATCAACCTCACTTTCCACTCACTTTCTCTTCAAATCCCTCCTTTTCCACTCTCCCTTTTCCATCCTCAAATCCAATCAAAGCCTAAGTCTCCGCCACTCACGGTAAGTCATGACATCTTTCTTATGGATCTCACTATTAATTAAAAAATCTATTTTTATCTATCACATCAATCAATTCATTCACAAACTTTCTCTACATTTTCCACTCACTTTCCCTTAATCCAATCAACCTCACTTTCCACTCACTTTCTCTTTAAATCCCTCCTTTTCCACTCTCCCTTTTCCATTCTCAAATCCAATCAAAGCCTAAGTCTCCGCCACTCACGGTAAGTCATGACATCTTTCTTATGGATCTCACTCTCCCTCCATTTTATTACTTTAGCATGAAATAGATCCACCCAAAATTTGCAGATTTACCCAAATTGTATTCAGGATACATCTGTGCCAAGATAATTTCTATTTTTTTTTTTTTTGCTAGGCGTGCCAAGATAATTTCTATGTCTGAGCCTTTTGTCTTTTAATTAAATTTACCCATGTCTTTGTTAAAATTTGGCTAATATGCAACATGTAAGATCTCACCCAAACAAGTCATTGTTTTCAAAGAATTTTCCTTTATACATTTCTTTTAACGCTCTACAATTAATGCACTGGTAAAGCAAGTGAATTTACATAACTTATTCACTGACTTCAGCTTGCGCCTCACAGTAGTTCCATTATGATTACGCTCTATTTCTTTTGCCATATGCATCTATTTTATAGACAACCATCCTGTTTCAATATATTGGAAATATTTGATGCAAAACTTGATCTGTGGTCTCATTTATTAGCTTTTGTATGTCACATTTGCTATAAAAAAAAACCATGAATGTACATTACATGATGTTTTTGTAATATTTTTTTTTATAATTATTATTTTAGTTTGTATAATACTAAATATTTATTATTTATAATAAATTATATATAAATATATATTATATTTAAATATATAAGTTAAATCAAAATTTTATATAAATAGATATTTAAAACATATAAATTATATATATTTTGGATTTATAATAAATAATTTATATTATAGTATAATATTATTTTTATTTATTGATAGTTTATTTTTAAAATATTAAAATTTAATTCATAAATAATTATGATAAATAAAAATCGAAATAGATAAAAAACTTTAAAAAAAATGCTAACAACTTTCATCGAAAATAGTTCTTGAAAACACTTTCATGTAAAATAAAAATTTATATTTAATATATAGAAATTAATTTTCAATTAATTAATTGTATTTCCACTTTATTATTAATTCTTAAGAAGAAAGAGAAATAAAAATAGTAAGAGAGAATGAGAGAGAAGCAAAAAGGCAAGAGAAAAAAAAATTGAAGGGAAAAAAATAATGTGAAATCTAAAAAATTTTGGGTATATAATTGATATGTAAATTATACTAAAAATTTTCACAAAATCTAGTATTCAAAATAATTCATTAAAATTTTTATATTTTTTAATACCAACAATTTTTTCGTGTAAAATTTTTTTAATTGAATACTATCAAATTGACAGACTATTAAAAAAATTGTTTATCTTATTTAAATATCAATTTTTGATGGACTCTTAAAAATATATAGATTGCTTTTATTGAATATTACTTGAATTTTTATATTAAAAAAAATCTTAATTAAATATAACAAATTTTTTATTAAAAAAATCTTAATTAAATACTATAAATCCTTTTTTTATTAATAATTTTTTTTAAATCTATTAAAATTTTAATCTAATACATTTTTCTAATATATATCACATCTTAAGTTCAAATTTTGTTCTTTCAAAAATAAAATAAAAAATTGTTATCATTTCTATAATTAAAAAATAAATCACAGTTACTGCTAAGGGGTACGGAGTTTGAAGAAATATTGCCTTATCATGAGGTATGACCCTAATACCGTGATTACCTGGAGATTGGCAGTTGTGTGTGTGAGAGAGAAACATATTAAGCCCTTCACAACCATAACAAAAAATATATTATATTTTTTAAGTCACAATTATGTTATGAATGGTGCGGGCAGTGACACCTGGCACAAGGAGGAAAACAAATGCAACCGTAAAAGTGGAAGGAAAAGAATAGTTAATTTTGTACTAAATAATTTCGTATGGGAACCACGTGACTATAAAAGGGGGACACGTGATTATAAAAGGGAAATTGATTTCGTTTGGGCCCACGTGACTATTTCCTGGTTGTTTCATTGTTTATCTACGATGAAGTTGTGTTCTCTCCATGTTTCTGCCATGAAGAGAACTGTGTAACTAAACTGGAATCAGAAAGAGAGACCCAGAAGTGAAAGGTCAAAGAAATGAAAGTCGTACAATATTGTTAAGAACTTGAGAGTTGAAAACCTTCCTAGAAAATACAATGGTTTAAAACTATTGTAGCTCATGCCCCTTCGAAATATATTAAAAAAGTCATTCATTATTACAAGGCAGCAATAACTTTGAATGAACAAATTAAGGCTACAGAACGATAGTAACAACAATTAAAAAAA